GTCTCCAATGCAGGGATTTCCCCTCACTTCCTGTCCAGTGAGCCAATGATGTGTAGACCAAAAGTAATGGAAAGCCTCCTCTATGGGGCCACAGAGGGCAGATGATGTGTAGACCAAAAGTAATGGAAAGCCTCCTTTATGGGGCCACAGAGAGCAGATGATGTGCAGACCAAAAGTAATGGAAAGCCTCCCCTATGGGGCCATAATGAGCAGATGATGTGTAGACCTAAAGTAATGGAAAGCCTCCCCTACGGGGCCACAGAGAGCAATAAAATCTGATGGAGATTCCACTGTTTCCCCACTCTAGCCAAACCCAAGCTAAAAAAAAAAACGTGCTGGAATTGGTCTTAAATAATATATAAAAATTATACATTTTTAATTTAAAAATTAATTATAAATGTTAGACTTTGTACAAAATACAAAGGCACAATGCATGTAAGCCTTGCTTGCCTAAATTTGCTATCCCCGAGCAGCACTGTGACTGCTGATTTTACATGCCGATATCCTGAAGTCAATTTAATTAGCTGTTGGTTATCTTAAGCAAACTGAGCATTAATAATGTCTGACTGGATACTAGGCCTTCATTTTAAAATATATAGATTTAAAGTAAGGTTGTAAATTGCCATTAAAGATGAAATTCACTCTTCATAAACCCCATCACCAATACCACCCAAAAAAAATCCATAACTCTTTTCCTTTCTTAGGCTTCTTTCACATGCTTTTGCAGAAAAACGTGCGACTATGTATTCCTATGGAAGTCTTCACACTGATCCATTGCTGGTCAGGTGTATTTTCTTAAAAATACTTGGTCACTGCATTTTTGGTGCGGTAAAAAAAATGCAACAAAAACACACCTCCCCATTGAAATCAATGGAAAATGCACTAAAAAACACAGCCGCTGGTGCGTTTTTGGTACGTTTTTAAGTCACATGTCCTATAAAAAAAAAAAAAGTGGTAAAAACTCACAGCAAAACCTTGGTAAAAGCGGTTTTGTTGCTTTTTTGCTGGGATCAGTGTGAAAGTAGTCTTAAAGTGTTACTAAACCCAGGACCCTGCATTCACTATATCTGGTCTCCCACAGTACATAGAACATGGAAATGCAATTATTTTAGTAAATACAAACTGCTAAATACCATTTCTTATCAGCAGTTAGAGCAGTCATGTGACTTCTACCAGTGTCCTGCAGAGCACTGGTTAAAGCTTGTAAGAGGAGTTTTCATTCTGCTTTAGGAAGATGCAGAACCCCTGACCTCTGTCTGGACAGTGCTGATTGGCCCTGTGCTGATCACATTCACTCTTTCAGGAAAAAAAAAAAAACCCCGCTAGCAATTCACACTAAACTGAGCATGTGCAGAGTGTCTCCACACGATATGTCTTATCAGGAGATAAGAGGGGGACACTGGAAGAAGGGGAGGATCAGAGAAATCCGACTCAAACAGCCTTTTTACACAATGCAGAGGATTAACCCCTTAGGTTTCACAGTGAGTAAAACGAGCATGCTTTCCTGCATATACAGAGTGATTTTACTGTTGTGGGTTTAGTGACACTTATGAAAAAAAAAAATACCAACTAGACAATAGAGTCCAGCATTGTCTTGTTTAAGCAAACACCCTTTGCCCCTCTTCTTTTTCAGTGATCCATCTTTTTTTTTTTTTTTTTTTTTTTTTTTTTTTTTTTTTTTTTAGATCTTGCGCATGTGCAGACATGGCGCAAGTCTCTGCCAAGTCTAAGGGCCGTGGTATGTGTGTGCAGGTGCCAGATCCGATGCCCACGTACAGACAAGCCACAGAACACTGCAAGCTTCTCTGGCTGAGACCCCATGGTGTGTGTGCTCAGGCACGACATCTCACAAACAGCTTCTGGGATGACTACATCACACAACCAAGGAGGAAGTTAGTGAGATGTAATGCATGCGCACACACACCAATGGGGTCTCAGCCAGAGAACTGCAGACATCGACGCCATGTCTGTACATGTGCAGGGGACTGGGCCCCTGATAGACAGGGCCAAAGTTAGACAGTAAAAATTAATTAAAACTGAAAATATTTAACTTTTTGCTAATGTGGGAGGAGGCAGAAGAGATGATCTTTAAAAAAAGTGTAATGTTCCGCTTTAATGTGGAAAACACAAATGAGCTACTGCCCTATTTAAAGCAACAGAATGTAAGTAACTTGAAATATCATGAATGTAAACTTTTAACATTGTCAAAGAAATGTTAAAGCGGCATTAACCTCTTGGCACCGGCCACCGCAAATGTGCTGCCTCCCGGCGTCTGGGCCTTGATGCCGAGCGGCCGCACATTTGTGTGCAATTAAGAAAAACATATATGCTGACAGCGTGCGCCGTGCGTGCTCCCAGCACACATGTCCGGTATTCACAGAAAGGTCCCGATCTCCTCTTTCGATCGGGACCTTTCCTGATCATGTGACCGTCGTGACAGCAAATCATGGCGGTCACATGACCCTAAAACCCTGTCTCGCCTCCTGGCTTCTGAAACCCTTAAAGGGCCGGGGGGCGCCGGCGCCAAAGGGTTAAGCCCAAACACAATTTATTCCAGTTTACCAATTCTTAGATGTAATGGCTGCATTAGTTTTCTTTTTTAGGCTTTCCTTCCTTTTTTTTCACCTGTGTTCCAGCCAGGAAGTCTGTTGTTTTTAAAAAGAACAAGCTCTCCAGCAGACTGTATCATTTACAGGGATGAGACAAACCATCTATCACTGACAGGTGTGCTTATAATGGTCAGCTTTATTTTATTTTTTAATGTAAAACCTTTATCTAAAAAAAAACTGCTTGTGTAACTGCAATCAAGCTGGAGTTTGGCTTCAGTTTGTTATTCTATTTAAATCTGCTAGTCCATCTCCCTCCAGACTGACAATGTCGCTGTCCAAAGGTGCCCCCTGTGCTCCATCAACTAGAGTGGGAGCGCTCTAATACAGGAGGTGTGTTGCTGGTCAGGAAAGTGAAATGAATGCAGCCCTCACGTCTAATAATTAATTAAGCTGCAATATATTACATTTTTGGTTGGGGGTTTAATACTGCTTTAATCACATGCCGCCCAGCCACTGTAGAAACACGGCGGCAGGGCGGCACAGCTGGGCAAAACCACGTTTTAAAACTTGTGTTTTCAAAACAGGTAGGGAGTGCGCGTGAGGTGCGCCGCCGCCCTACCTGTCCCGCCGATCACTGCCGCGGATGTCAGTCGCCGGGTCACAGACGGTCGTTACGGGCTATGTCCCGGCGATTAGCGGCAATCACTGACAGCACAGCTGCAGTAGCTGTGCTTTCTGTCAGTTCGCTGACAGCTCCTGACACGCTGATCGGGACAGAAGAGTTTATCTGTCCGGATCAGTGTGTCTTCATGCAGTACACACCCCCGCCCCCTAGTAAAACACACCCCTCACACAGTTAACCCTTTCCCTGAATAATAAAGTTAACCCCTTCCTCCCCAGTGCCATTAGTACAGTGTCAGTTTTTTTTTTTTTTTTTTTTTTTTTTGCACTGATCACTGTATTGGTGTCACTGGGGATGTCAGTAACCCCAAGTCAGTTCCCCCCCAGTGTCAGAATGTCCGCCGCAGTCCCGCCATAAGTCTCTGATCGCCGCCATAAGTCGCTGATCGCCGCCATTATTAGTATTAAAAAAGATTTTTAAATCCCAGTATCTTTCCCGCCATTTGGAAACGCTATAACTTTCACGTAAACCAATTAATTTACACGTATTGGGTTTTTTTTTGTAGCAAAGACATGTAGCAGAATACATTTTGGCAGAAATTTATACTAAATTTGATTTTTTAAATTTTTTTTTTTTTTGTTTTATAACAAAAAGTCCAAAATATTGTTTTTTTTCCTCAAAAAGCCTTTTTTTTAGTATAAAAAACGCACAGGCGATCTAACTTGTGATGTTTACTATATATTGCATTTATCCGTACTAGCGCAGCGCTGAAAAAGTAAATTAAAAATATTAGTTTTTTTCTTCAAAAAATATACACTTATTGGATTTTTTTTCATGTTTTTTTGGCCTTAAACTAACTTTAGCTATATATATTTTTTATAGAAAGTAAAAAAAGCTCTATTTGTCTTTTTTTGTGAAAAAAGGACTCTAATTTTTTAGTTTGGAAGGAGCATTGCATGACCGCGCAATTATCAGTTGAATTAGTGCAGCGCCGAGTAGCAAAAAGAGGCCTGGTCATTAAGGGGGGTAAATCCTCAGGAGGGCAAGTGGTTAATGACATTTAGGGGTCAATTTACTAAAACTGGAGAGTGCAAAATCTGGTGCAGCTCTGCATAGGAACCAATCGGCTTCCAGTTGTCAAAGTTTAGGTGAACAAGCTGAAGTTAGAAGCTGATTGGCTACCATGCACAGCTGCACTAGATTTTGTGCTCTCCAGTTTTAATAAACCAATCCTTAAGGCTGGACATACATGTGTCGATTTTCGAACAACTTTTTGTTTGAGAATCAGACCTAAGAATAATCAACCGATTTTCTCTCTGTTAGTGGGGCAATGGAATCGGATGATTTTCATGGTTCCTCTCCATTTTGTTTATCCGGCATGCTGGAAAATTCGTGAAAAACGACCGATTTTCGAAATCATTGGTGGCACCATCGGATTACAGAACGAACAATGTTTTCGATCAAAAAATCATTCGGAATTCGACCCATGTATGGCCTGCTTTTAGTCTTCCCTGTGATTCATGTTGCATAATCAAGGGGGTGACACCTGTTTCAGATTCCGAGCTTCCAGTGTCACTTCTCTACCTCTCGTCCAGCCTGCTATTTGGACAGTTAATCTGCATCAGGGGATACAAGAAGCTAAGAAGCTTTATATTGTGCACTTTGTGAAGTGTGTGATTCAAAAGACCGGCCAAACAGAATTACAAACCCTTTGCAATGATAAACCAGTCAATGTGTATACACCTATTTCAAGTGTGTACATTGCTATTTATTTGGACTTGTGCATTGGGAGCAGTAAAATGTGACTGTTGATGAATATTCTATTTCAGAAATACACACATATACGATTAGCCCAACAGGAGAATCCGATCCCATATTACAGAAGCAAGCTGTGGTGGTGTGGAATCTTACTCATGGGAATTGGTGAACTCGGCAACTTTGCTGCTTATGGCTTTGCCCCAGCAACACTCATCGCTCCCTTAGGATGTGTCGCTGTTATAGGTAAGTCGTGTCATCCTGATTTTTAATTCCGATTTAGTGCTTTTGTTCATGAAGTTACAACTCTTAGGTGAGGAAAGGTAGATACACGGATATGTATCCTCAAGTTGCTTTTAACACTGAACTCCAGGCATACTGAGAAATACACAGAAAAAAATGCATAAAATAGTAGTTTTACACGCCAACGGATTTGTGTTTTTGTCCATCCAATGTTGAGATTTACACTGCTCTGCATCACAGTAAAGCCCAGTTCGGCAATGGAGGGGAGCTGATGGGACCTTAGTACAAAAAGTTAGTGTTACTAAACCCTGGGAAAGAAAGTGCAGCGCTAAAGATAAAACAAAATAAATGAATGATTTCAATCCATAGGATAAGCTGAATGAATAATCCCAGTGAAGCCAATGTATAAAATGGTGACAGTCTGTGATAAGTGATTGATACAGGAGATAGTTCTGGGAAGGCGTCATATGACGTTGTCCCAGAACGCGCCACCGGGGGCGTGCACCCGGCTATCTCCGTGATCACCATGTCCTACGGACACAGCTGATCACGTGAGGTGTTAAAAGGCCAATCACAGAGGCCTCTTACCACATGATCAGCCATTTCCAATGACACAGCAGATCACTGGTAAATGCAGTTGCTGGTTATCGGCTGCACTTTCCTCACGCTGTCACAGCATGAGGAAAGAACTGCCGATAACGGGCAATTGTCAGAAGAGGGATCGGCACTGATCATCAGGGCACTGATCATCAGTGCCCTGATGATCGGTGCCCAGCAGTGCCACCCATCTGTGTCCAGCAGTGCCGCCCACAAGTGCCCATCAGTGCCGCCAGTCGGTGCCGCCAGTCAGTGCCACCCATCAGTGCTGCCTATCAGTGCCCATCATTGTTGCATGTCTGTCAGTGCCAGCTCATCAGTGCCGCCTATCAGTGCCCATCATTGCTGCATGGTAGTGCCAGCTCATCAATGCTACTTATCAGTACAGCCTCATCAACGCACATCAGTGAAGGAGAAAAATTACCTGCTTGCAAAATTTTATAATAGAAAGAAAATTAAAAAAATGTTTTTTCTCTTTTTTTGTTTATACTGCAAAAAATAAAACACCCAGCGGCAATTAAATACCACCAAAAGAAAGCTCTATTTGTGTGAAAAAATTATACAAGTTTTACATGGGTGCAGTGTTGCATGACTGCGCAATTGTCACTCAAAGTGCGACAGCGCTGAAAGCTGAAAATTGGCCTGGGCAGAAAGGGGGTATAAGTGCTCAGTAGGCAAGTGATTAAGATAGGCTTCAAACAAAGAGTTTTTTTATCTGCAGAAAAGTAAATGTAATGGAAGGTTTTGTTTTGGTTTTTTTTTTTTTTGTTTTTTTTTTTTTTTCTTTAATTGATCCTTTGTCCTGAGGTTTAGGCATGTCTGTAAGACTGTCACTTGGCTGAATAAATAGCAGCACTTTGTGGGTACAAGGACTGTGGCACATGTATGCAGTGTATACAGGGAATAGGCACAGGTTCTGTTTAATCGTCCACTTTGAGCCTCCCCCCCCCCCCCCCCATTATGCCCAATCTTGCCATATCTGCCATTCACCACGGTGCACATAGCCACAAGGATAAATTGAAGGCACGTTGATACTATACCATCCCTGACTTTTTTATTGCACCCCCAAATCAGACAGGCTAGATCTGCCTCTGGCCACACACAGATCAACATTTTGGCTAGTCCCTGCTAAACTAGCCAAATTCTGATCAGTGTATGGCAAGCTTAATACAGACATTCCCCCCAAAAAATCACGTGACAATGCTTAGGTGACAGTCCGCACAGGCACTGAGCTCAAGCAAGGAAGTGGGTTACATACTTTAAAGTGGACCTTGACTCCAAAAATCACATTCTTTGCACCTGGCTCCAGTCCCCTCCCTGTCCCACAAATTAGATTTTTTTTTTATAAGTGCTTTTGACTGCAGAGGACCCCTTCCTCCTCTTGCCTAGGGGAGAATAATTGTGCACTCGTTTACACTCGGGCTTTGGTCAGCATTCAGGAACCCTCAGAGACCTTCATCACATCTGCACACACGCGACTTTTCCCACTCAGGCATGCATAAAGAAGGCATAAGTAAGGAGGTCCCGGATCTTTGTTTTTGTGCACAAGCAAGGGACAACTTGGTACAGCGCTCTGCCCCGGACATTCAAAGATGGTGGTGCCATGGAAAGGGTAGGGGCGAGGAACTGGGCTAGCACTGAAGTTGCTTTTTAAAATTTCTTCTTTTTATCTTTCATGGGGGTAATGCCTCAGGGGTGGCAGATGGCAGCAGTAACCTGACAGGGGACCTCACCCTTCTCTCGTTCTGTTCATAATTTAAATCCGGAGTAAACTGCAACCTTTTATAACAAAACAAAAAACTGCCAGTCAATGGCCTAGTGTGCTAGTATGCATCGCATACCAGCACATTATGTGAAACCTACCATAAAACAAAGCTCTCCACTGACGGGGCTCCCATCTTTACCTGGTCCTTCTTCGAGGTTCACAGGCTCTGGTGGCTTGAATGGTCGAGCCTTGATGATGTCACTCTCGTATTGCGCGCGCTCGTGGCATGTTGACAAACTTAACTTAAAAAATCTACAAAGGCAACGCTTTTAAAAGACTTTACAAGTTACCAGTTTAGAGTAATACAAGAGGTCTGGGTCTAGAATTATTGCTCTTGCTATAATGTTCGTGGTGATACATCACATTTGTGGTGGACATATTATTTACATATGCATGCTTTCGCCTTTGTGCATGAGCATGGGATAGCTTGTAATTTTTTTATTTTATGATTTATTTATTAAATTTTAAAAAAAAAATTTTAATCACTTTTTTTGCTATAACAAGGGATGAACAACATCCCTTATAACAGCACTGACAAGTCTGTTAGATCCCAGTTCTCCTTCCCCCTTCAAAGCATCAGATCAAACCCAAAGTGGTTTGATCTGATGCTTTCACAGGATGGTAACGGTCTGTTTACATTAGACCGAAACTAGAAATGAGAAAATTCTTGTCGCTTCTGCTTTCTTAGTCCAAAGAGATGATTGGGGACACTATGGTCCTCGAACATTATTATTATTATACAGGATATATAGCGCCAACAGTTTGCTCAGCGCTTTACAATATAACGGGAGACAATACAGTTCAATACAAGAGGGATAGGAGGGCCCAGCTCCTCGGAGCTTACAAATCTAGGATGGAGGGGCTAGTGGTACAAAAGGTAGTAACTGTGGGGGATGGACTGGTAGGAAGAGTAGAAGATTCCATTATTAGCTGAGGGCAGGATAGGCTTCCCTGAAGAGATTTCAGAGATCACCTAAAAGTGAGCAGAGTGGGCGATAGTCTGATAAATTGGCGTAGAGAGTTCCAGAGGATGGAAGAAGCTCTGGAGAAGTCCTGGAGACGAGCATGAGAGGAGGAGACAAGGGAGCTAGAGAGCAGGAGGTCATGCGAGGAGCGGAGAGTACGGTTTGGGTGATATTTGGAGACAAGATCGGTGATGTAATTTGGGGCAGAGTTTTATAAATGGCTTTATATGTTATTAATGTTTTTTTTTATCCGTTGGGCAATGGGAAGTCAGTGGAGGGATTTGCAGAGGGGGGTGGCCGATACAGAACGGTAATATGAGGTGGATGAGTCCTGGCAGCAGCATTCATGATAGACTGAAGAGGGGATAGCCTGTGATGAGGTAGGCCAATGAGGAGGGGAGTTACAATAGTCAAGGCGAGATATAACCAGGGAGTGAATAAGTTGCTTAGTGGTTTCCAAGGTTAGGAACGGTCGTATCTTGGAGATGTTGCGGAGGTGAAGTCTACAAGATTTGGACAGTGATTGGATTTGGGCTGAAAGGACAGATGGGAGTCTAGGAGTACACCTAGTACCCTGGCATGAGGGGAGGGACTGATGATTGTGTTATTGATCTTGATGGAGAAGTCAGGGGAGGGGGCACGGGCTGGGGGGAATACTAAGAGCTCAGTTTTGGAAAGATTGAGTTTGAGGAAGTGGAGTGACATCCTTGCCGATATGTCACTTAGTAGGTTAGTAATGCAAGAGGAGACTGAAGGGGTGAGGTAAGGGGTAGACAGATAGATTTGTGTGTCATCAGCATAGAGATGGTACTTTATGGGAGTTTATCAAGTGACCAAGGGAGGCGGTGTAGATGGAGAAGAGTAGGGGTCCAAGGACAGAACCTTGAGGGACCCCTACAGAAAGAGGAAGTGGAGAGGAGGAGGCAGAGTTATAGGTAACGCTGAAGGAGCACTGCGATAGGTAGGAGGAGAACCAGGAGAGAGCAGAGTCTCAGAGGCCAAGAGAGTGGAGTTTTTTTTAGGAGGAGGGGATGGTCAAGTAGTAAGAGTATGGAGTAGTGGCCATTGGTTTTATCATCTCTGTGGTCAGCCGATGGAACCACTAGCTTCAGTCGCGGGCTCCCTGGTAAGACTGGAAAACCCAGGAAGCCGGCGGGGGGTGTGACCCCCTTCCACTGCCCGTAAAAGCGATCCAGCAGCTAATTGGCTACTTGGGTCGCTTTTGCTTTATTTAGCATCGCTGGCTAAAGAAAAAAGATACCAGGATGATGCCTGTAGCTGCAGGCATCATCCCGGTATAACCCTTTCAACCTGGCAACGTACTACTAGAAGCTTCTACAGTAGGTACCGTATACATATCTTTTTAAGGTAATTGCACACAGTACTGTTGAAATGTATGAAAATCAGATTCCTGGCAGAAAATTCCTGAATAAAAATGTGAGGATACGCAGAAAAGTAAATGCGCCTATTTGCTCATTTTAATGCACAAGTGCGTAAAAATTCTTTTAGCTTTTGTTGGGAAGTGTGCGCATGGTATCATTGCCTATTTGTGTGTGTGAGCGTGCAAACTAGTGTCCAGCATCAGATTTTTTCTTTTTTTTTTCTTTTTAAAAACCTGTATACCTAAAAGCAATGCATTTTCAATGTGAAAAAAGGCCTTAAGCTAAAGCAAATCTAGTTTAGTTCTGTATCTACAAATGTTCAGCATCCCTTTAACCTTCCATTTAGAACTGACCTCCCAGGCGACATAAACAAAGTGCTTTTCTCTAAACCTAAAGTGGTTTCCCTTTATCTATTAGGCCTCAGGGACCTGGCTTGCAGCCGCCACGTGGCCTTAAACCTTTGAATGACAGACCCATGACATGCTGAACTGTTGTCATGGAGAGACTGATAATATAAAGGCCTCACAGACATACTGTAATTACGTAGAGGAAAACACAAGTTTATCTTGCCTCTTGTTTTTATCTTTCTATTGCATATGACTCATTTTGCTACCAAGGCCTGGCAGTTTATGAAGATTGTCTGAATCAAAAAGATGTAGAGCCTTTTATAAAATGTATTCCCTCTGTAGAATATTGTAGATACATCTTATCAGATCTGAAAACCGACCCAACAAGACACTTTACCAACGCTGGGCACAACGTAGGTGGGAGTGGCCAGTCCAAGGCTGGATTGATGTGTCTGCAGGAAAGAGTCCTTGGAACCTATACTATAGGAACAAAGTAGAACTCAATATTGTAAAGTTGACCAGAAAATAGGTTTGATTTAACGTTGACACTTTTTGAGGACAGCAGTGAAAACATAGTCTTGTTATCAGTAACCTTTTTTTTTTTTTTAATCTGATCTGACCACCGGCGTTTTCTATGGGCCCTTGCAAACGGCTGATCCATATACTTTCACTGTGTTCAGATCTGTAAAAGAGAGTAGAAAATCTGCATCTAAGGTCCTAGCATATGAGCTATAGTTCACACTGTGCACCGGTAAAAGTTTGTGCTAACTTTAGCATGCGTACAGATGTACTCTATTAGAGTACCACCAGCATCTTAGCAATGGAGGACACTAGGCTATGTCCTTTTAAAATCTGTTTGTACCCTAGCAATGAAGAATGCCAGATTGCAATAGCCACCTGCATCCTGACAACCGTGAACGCTAATTAGCAATAGCCACCTGCATCCTGACAACCGTGAACGCTAATTAGCAATAGCCACCTGCATCCTGAATGAACAGTGAACGCTAATTGGCAATAGCCACCTGTATTGTAGCAATGGAGGACACTAGGAAGCTTCTCTGAGAAACCACCTGTGGTAGGCAGATGCAGTCGAGTGTCACCTGCAGTGGAGACAATAATCTGCAGCGGTACTGCAGCTAGAGGGGAAGTCTGGGGAAACTTGATTTCCATATGGTTCCCTTGGTACCTGGGAGCAGCATTTTGGTTGGCTGTGCTGCATCCAGGTGGCCCTTCCAGCCATTTTGGGTCAGGCAGAGTCTTTTTAAGTGCCTACCCTCAAGTTTTGGCACACATTTCCGAAGTATATAGTGTAGGGAGGGCATACCTGCCTGTCAGGGATGGCACTAGCTGTAGGGAGAGGTTTCAGAGGGAGTAGGGAAAGCGCAGGACCTACGTCTTAATTTCTGCAAGTTCCCTCTTGGGTTGGATTGGCCAGGCCACATTCCTCCTCCCTTGACAGTGCTGTGTTCATTTCAGACCTACTACAGCTAACTCTCCACTGCATTCACTGTAAGTTCCTGGTTGGGTGAGCTCTCTCTTGCCAGGTTTTTGTACTGTTTGCAAGTTCTTCAATACATGTTTACTACACTCCAGGCAGTACTTCTGCTGCACCTGCCCCACACACCTGCATTCTAGGAGAAGGGCCATTTACACTGTATTGCTGTACACATGTAAGGCCTCATTCACACACATCATAGTGTGCCATGTGCAAGGGCTGTGTTTACCTGCAGGTGTTCCATGCAATCTCTTGCTGGCAGTCCTATTGATGCCAATTGGGACACAGCAGCTGCACGGCATCCAGTATATCTGTGTGGTTGCACGTCCGCAAATGCTGACAGTGTGAGTTTGGGGATATGCACCTGCACCCACACAGATGTCATATTGGGAGCAGCAGCCCATGTGGTGCAGTCGCTGTGTCCCAATTGACATCAATAGTATTGCCTGCATGGGGGCGCACAGAATACCCCCATGCATCCCTGTGCAAGTAAACATGGCCATCTCATCGATATGCTCTGTGTGAACGGGAACTTAATCTTGCTCAAACAGTACAAGAGGATAAGTACAGAGCACTTTTTTGCGCAGGATCCTGGTGCCAGCTTCCACCATCAAGAGCCTGCATACTAGTTGCCGTATTTTCATATGGCCATGTCGCTTTAGCTGATTGATGTTTCTTATTTTCAGGATGGTTTTCCATATACAAATTTGTACTTTCCCTATAGCAATAGCCAACTCTAGGTAAAATGAATTTGAAGATATGACAAAAATTTGACCAAATGCTGTAAATCATGACCGTACTACAAACAAGTGATTTGCTGTTAGATTATTAAAGGCTTTTTCTGAAAGTTGCTGATTGTACATAATAGTAATACTGCAGATTTTTACTGCAGTTGTTTTGTTGACTGCAGTTGTTTTTATACAAGCATATAAGCAAAGTGTATTTACAAAGTTTAGATTTTCTATACATGAAATAAATCAATTGTCACCCAAGCTTGTTGAATATTCATTAAATTGGATAGAAATTAATTGTCATATTTCAAAATATGGACAGCGCCACTGGGAAAACTAATAAGAAGAATTATATCAGATAAGAAAGATGTATATTTAGGAAGAGCAGCTTATCTCACCCTTGAAGGACAAGGTACATATCAAACAATCAAACACTATAGACAGCGCTCCTCATAAAATATATCTCTGAATATGCAAACTCGTTAGATTAATATTAGTGCATAAAATATAAAATAATACACTACATAATACCATATAGAGCAAACAAAGCAAAAAACTGTTTTGTGACTATTAACTCTGTGAATATACAAATAAATAGGTGTCCAACTAAAGTGTCCATATAAATGATAGCGTTCTTCAATAATTATTATAATAAACTTCTGTGTGAATAACCAAATAACACCGTGAAAATCCACCACCAAATGAAATGCATACACTCACCAGAGCTCCATGCTGGTAAAATTATAAACCAGCTCAAAATGCTGAAACTCTGGGAGCAACGATCTGCAGAGGCACACACCAGCTGATTGAAACTCCTTCAAATGACTCTTCATATACTCAGAATGGGATCATAAAGGAAGAGAATGGAATCCAAATAGTGTAAAACCATCCAGGCATTTATTCAGTAAAAAAAGTTTCCAATACACTCACATTTCACAGTGTCAAAGCCAACACTGGCACAAAATGCATATATCACTAAAAATCAAAGGTTTGCTCTGATCCCAATGGACGTCGGCAGCTCACCCAATGTGGTGATGTCACCTCTGGGGCCCCGCCCTACGCGTTTCGTCATCCGACGTCCTCCTTAGTTGTGCTTTTCCATAGACTTCTATGGGATCCTCCAGTTTTGGTTTGGTTTCAGAAAGTGCACCAAAACTGCTGCATGCTGCATCAGAAACATGCTTTCAGAAACAACTAAAACTGGAAGACCTCACAGAAGTCTATGGGAAAGCGCAGCTAACCCGTACGAAAACTGCAGGTTAGCTTCACTTTGCCAAAAGCACAGTGCAGTGTAAAGCCACCCTAAAAGAGCTTTAAAACAAGATCTTGCTGACTAGTTTAGCTGCAGGTGCTGTGGAGGAAATTAACTGCTCTAATTAACCCCAAAAAACCACATTGGTTGGAGGTCTTCTTTACAGGTAAACACTGGTTGGGTAGCCTGTACATAAAATAATTGCTTTAGAGACCTCTATCTGGGAATCGCGGTGCCTGGAATCTCTGGTGACAAAATCTTCCTTGGTGTGACTACCTGTCTGCTGATTTTTCCACCTAATGCAAGGGTTGACATTATTTCTGCCATGTTGCAGCACTTTATAGAGGAAATGCCACAGGTTACAACAAATCCTACTTGAGGCCAGGTTACAGTCACCTTCCTGAAATGTAGAAAAACCACGAGATATTTTTTTTTTTCAACAGTTTCAGGCACACTTTGGTATAGATTTAGAGAGAGCTTTCTTCAGCTGCCTTGGGCTTCACAGTAACATTTTGTATAATATGATTCTGGAATTTTACATTTTAGCTTTTTTCCTGTTAAGAGCACATTTTTAGGTCAGTCCACCCAAAGTTGATCTTTTAATTGTAGAAGGTGCCTGTTGTGTTGTGTCCAGCTCTAGCTTCTTATGTGTCTTGCACAGAGTAGGGATTTAAAGCAGGGCATGTACTTGTCCATGTGGGAGTGTCCCCACCTTTATGTGTTTCAACTTTGTTTGTATTTTTTTCTAATTCAGAGAATAAATAAAATACAAGAGTGAGACCATCATATAATGATCATAGTAAATGTGCAGACCTGGGAACTCCAGCACAAATATCTTTCCAATACAGTCCCCAAAAGATACAGAAAATCTTAAGATAGTCTAACTCTCCAGTTTCTATTATTCTGAATTGTTCTTAAATACTTCTTTTTTTTTTTTTTTCTTTTTGCGCAGGAAGTGCAGCGATCTCTGTTGTGTTCTTAAAGGAATCGTTGAGGGCCTCTGATGTAATAGGTAAGAAAATATAAAATCCTACAAATACAGCATTATCCTATCTTCTAAAACAGTAGTGTCAAACTCCCATTGCATTGCAGGCCGCATCAACATTATGGTTGTCCTCAAAGGACTAGTTCTATCTGTAAGACTAGATGTCCAAAGTGCCCCCACCCCCTTACATCAGATGTCAAGAGCCCCCCCCATCATAAGTCAAGAGTCCCCCAGCCTCCCTTACATCACAGTGCACCCCCTTACCTTGGGCTGCTGCCAAGAAGAAGCTGGAGATGGAGCTGGGAAGTAAAAAGTGTAGGGTCTGAAAGAGGACCAGAGGAGGTCTGGAGTCAACTGCCAGAGTCTGCTGAATGCTGAGACCAGGGGAAGCAGAGACGAGGGGATGCTGCACAGAGAGACGCAGGATCTGTTCGAGGAGTTCTGTCCCTCTCTCTGCTGGTGACTGCTAAGATGGGGGGCAAAGAAGAGCCTTTCCACAGCTGCACAAAGAAGCACAGGATCTGATGGAGGCGTTCTGTCCTCCTCTCTGTTGCTGACTGCTTTGACAAGGTGGGATTAGAGGCGAGGGGGCTGCCGCACCTGCATAAGAAGTGGAACAGCCACATGAAATGGCCTAGCGGGCCAGATTCGGCCTGCGGGGCCTTGTGTTTGACATGTGTTCTAAACGTACGTCCAGTTAATATTAACAACCCATATCCTTTGCCAAGTATTGCTCTAAACTGACAGACAAAGTATAAGGCAATAAGGAACTGGTCAAATATTTCCAGCCCGGCTAACCAACTTTGTTGTGTTTTGTGTTGTAACAAACACTGTCTAGTTTCTTTTTGTGCCATGTGACAATATCACAGCTACTAATGTGCCATTAAACGTTTGGCATTTTTTTGGAGGGGGTAGAGAAGAGTTAGACTCTCTGTCAGGTTTCTGTCTGTGTCCCCATTGGGGAGATTAACTCCTCTGTTTTGTTGTAGTAACCATTGTCACAGGGACAGAAAGTGATGGGAATTCAATAATTTGAATTTGCACAAGTGCGGAAGGTAAGGAAAACCATCCACTGTTCCTAAAACTGTCTTGGATGGGAATTCTACTTACATTACTGATACTTTAGGGTTGAATTCCTAAAACTGGAGAGTGCAAAATCTGGTGCAGGTATGCATGGTAGCCAATAAGCCTCTAACTACAGCTTGTTTTAATAAAGCTTTGATGAAAAAAAAAAAACCTGAAAGCCGATTTCTACATAGAGCTGCTCCAGATTTTGCACTCTCCAGTTTTAGTAAATCAACCCCATTACCTCACTTCATGTGGCTTCTTTAGGATAGGAAGTGAAGAAAAATCTCTCCAACAAGAAAGAGTCAGCAAAAGATATCCTGATAGATGTTTGAAGCCTTCTGTATGCTATCCAAAATAAAAGAAAGTTTTGGCTTCACAAAACATTGTTAACACCTCTTTGTAGTTATATTGGTAATATGCAGAGAAAGTGAAATTAATATTTTTCACATCAATAGATTTTGTAGAAATTTAGTTTCAAACATTTAAATTTCCAAAGTGTTATTTTGTAGATTTAGGACACACAAAGGTAGAGAAAATGCAGTATGGAAAAATCGCCAACTGTCTGCAGAGTCAATAGCTACAGACCTCCACACTTTGTGTGGCCTTCAGATTAGCACAACTACAGTGCGTAGAGAGCTTCAATGGGTTTCCATGGCAGAGCAGCTGTATCCAAGCCTTACATCACCAAGTGCAATGCAAAGCATCAGATGCTGTGGTGTAAAGCACACCGCCACTAAACTCTTGAACAGTGGAGATGTGTTCTCTGGAGTGACCAATCGCGCTTCTCTGTCTGGCAATCTGATGGACATGTCTGGGTTTGGCGGTTGCCAGGAGAACGGTACTTGCCTGAATGCATTGTGCCACATGTAAAGTTTGGTGGAGAGGGGATTATGGTGTGGGGTTGTTTTTCAGGGGTTGGGCTTGGCCCCCTAGTTCCAGTGAAGGGAACTCTTAAGGCATCAGCATACCAAGACATGTAGGACAATTTCATGCTCCCAACTTTGTGGGAACAATTTGGGGATGGCCCCTTCCTGTTCCAACATGACTGCGCATCCGTGCACAAAGCAAGGTCCATAAAGACATGGATGAGTGAGTTTGGGGTGGAGGAACGTGAATGGCCTGCACAGATTCCTGACCTTAACCCGACAGAACACCTTTGAGATGAATTAGAGCGGAGACTGCGAGCCAGGCCTTCTTGTCCAACATCCGTGCCTGACTTCACAAATGCGCTCTGGAAGAATGGTCAAACTCCTAAACCTTGTGGACAGCCTTCCCAGAAGAGTTGAAGCTGTTAAGGCCGCAAAGGGTGGGCCAACTCAATAGTGAACCCTACGGACTAAGACTGCGATGCCATTAAAGTTCATGTGCGTGTAAAGGCAGGCGTCCCAATACTTTTGGCAATATAGTCTCTCTCGATCTCTCTCTCTTCCCCTCTCTCTCTCTCTCTTCCCCCTCTCTCTCTCTCTCTTCCCCTCTCTCTCTCTCTCCCCTCCTTCCCCTCTCTCTCTCTCTCTCTTCCCCTCTCTCTCTCTTCCCCTCTCTCTCTCTCTTCCCCTCTCTCTCTCTCTTCCCCCTCTCTCTCTCTCTTCCCCTCTCTCTCTCTCTCTTCCCCCCTCTCTCTCTCTTCCCCCCCTCTCTCTCTTTTCCCCCCCTCTCTCTCTCTCTTCTTCCCCCTCTCTCTCTTCCCCTCTCTCTCTCTCTCTTCCCCCCTCTCTCTCTCTCTTCCCCTCTCTCTCTCTTCCCCTCTCTCCTCTCCCTCTCTCTCTCTCTCCCCTCTCTCTCGTCTCCCCTCTCTCTCGTCTCTCTCTCTCTCTCTTCCTCTCCCTCTCTCTCGTTCCCCTCTCTCTCTTCCCCTCTCTCTCTTCCCCTCTCTCTCTTCCCCTCTCTCTCTTCCCCTCTCTCCCCCCTCTCTCCCCCCTCTCTCTCTCTCTCGCCCCCCTCTCTCTCCCCCCCCCCTCTCTCTCTCCCTCTCTCTCTCTCTCTCTCTCTCGATCCTTCTACTTTGGTTTAGGCCAGAGCACTTGGTAGGTTCCACCATACAGGAACTGTGAACAGTGGCTCCTTTCAGCAATGCATGGCACAAACCAAAACCAAAGTGATATTCATTCTAGTCATAATGACTTGCAGTGTCCTCAAAGTAGATGAGTAAGAATGCTGGTGGGCGGTCTGAATTATGAATGTGGTGCTGAGGTTGGGACTTGGCATTGGTTATTATGTGTAGCTGTTTGAGGAGCGTAGGCAGTGCTTGCCTTCCATTCAAATTCTAGCTTGTAGATGATAATGGATGAAGACAGCCCAAGTGAGCTAATAAAAGGGAAGATAAAACATCATCTGCATATTCCTAAAGTTTTGTGTGGCATTTTTAATTATGCTGTTAGTAGGCGTTCCTTAAGGAATTTGTTTCTGTGACTCTAAAGGGCAACCAGTTTGGCATTTTCACTGTGACAACAATGGGCATCCAGTGTATTATTTCAATTTATGTATTCGATGTAGTGTGTTACATATATATATACTTTAGCATTCTAAGATTTTATGATATACTAATAATTTTGTGGCATTTACTCTTCTCTTTTAACTAAAGATTGTGCCTCTGAAATGTGGCTCAGTGCCTAACTGTAATAAAAAAATAGAAACCTCTATGACTATGTCCTGGTGGGTGGGGCAGAATGTGGTTTGTGCTGAGGCCATCCTACACTTGTATTCACACTTTGGTCGGGCTGAGAGTGCAGCGTTCTTCATGTACATGTGAAAAAAAAAAAAAAAAAAAAAGACGGGTTAACTCCACAAGACCTGCTCAGCTGGTTGTCCTTATCAGACTGAGAATTTGATGTGAACACCTTTCACTAAGCTTTGGGGATAATTCCCATGGAAAGTGCAACTTAATTTGTAAATTGAACAGGAACAATTGAGTACTGTCCGTGATACTTTTTCTATTTGCACTAACATACAATTTTGAGGACAAGCTTTCGGGGAATGCAGTATTGCTTAGACCTGAAGAAGGGGACATTCCCTGAAAACTTGTCCTCAAAATTGTATGTTAGTGCAAGTAAAATAAAAAAAGTATCACGGACAGTACTTAATTGTTCCTGTCACAAATGCACTAATACGGCTACAATCACCTCAAGCTAAATTGAACAGCATATTAGTTTTTGGTAAATCAACCCCTATATGTTCGCTAATAATTTTGTTCTTGACTAATTTTTTATTCTAAAATCATATTTTTAAACAAGTTTCCTATTTGACTGTTTACGGCATCTTTCACGCAGGTGGCACGGGGTGGTAGAAACAGGTGGCTGAGCCGCGGTTTTACTGACACCCCATTTCCCCTACCCCATCCAGATCACCCTCCCCCATCCAGATCACCCACCTAAAGTATAATGTACAGCTGGAGGAGGCTGTTCACATGCTGCAGCAACGGCAAACTTAATGTGGCATGCTGAGTTGACTTTTTTAGAGTATTGGCTAGTGTGAACCTAGCCAAAGGATAATGTCAGTGGGCTTATGTTATTCTCAGGCTTCTTTACCCATAAAAATATGCAAAATCAGTTTGATGCAGATTAGAAGGCAGCTGACTTTAGGTAAAATGCACCTGCAATGAATTATAAACCGTTTCAGAAGTGTCTCCAAACTAATGTCAAGATGGCAACTGAACAAGGCCAGTGCAGAAAGTAAGATGCAGCTTGCCTTTGATACTTAACTAAAGGTCTCAAGAGTTTCAGAAGTTGGAAAGAGTGCTGAGGATATATACTAGAGAGAAAACATCATTAAATGAAGGACATTTGCATCTCTTCTAAACTACAGTGCTTCCTGAAAGTATTTACAGCGCTTAACTTTTGCCACATTTTGTTATGTTCCAGCCTTATTCCAAAATGGATTAAATTAATTTTTTTCCTCAACATTCTACAAACAATACCCCATAATGACAACGTGAAAATTTTGTTTTGAAATCTTTCCAATT